CATTCTTCCTGAATGTGTGTGTGTGTGTGTGTGTGTGTGTATGTAAGAGAGAGAGAGAGAGAAAGAGCACTTTTAATGCAGCAAGAGACTGTGTGTGTTCATTTTGGAACAGTACAAAGTGCTTCTTTCGTTCCGCATTAGTGCCTGCAGACAGATTGCCTGTCTGTGTGTGCCTTGGTGCTTTTAAGAGACTACACATCCATAACTATATTAAATATCCACAGAGAGTGGCATGACAAAAGAGCTCTTCCAGCACCTCCGCGCTCTTTTAGATTTGGATTTTGCTGCGCTAGTGCATGTGCACATTGTATTTGTACTTTGCTAATGGGCTGCTTTTCCCCCACCACAAAGACTGTAATACGGCTGTTTATCAGAACTTTCTGTGGGCTATTTATCAGCTCTGTTTAGATTCCATAAGCATACTCCTAGCACTGCTTTGAAAAGGCTGTTTTTATTCAACTTTTTCTCCCAGGTTTCTTGGCGTTCCCCCGGGAAGAGGAAGTTGCCCATTGCGAGGACCTTTGCCCTTCGACCTCATCTACACAGACTACCATGGACTGCAGCAGATGAAGCAACACATGGGCCTCTCCCTCAAAAAGCACAAGTTAGTGCGTGTGTGTCCATTATATCTATGTCATTAATCACCTTTCATGTTTAGATGATTCATCTCTTGCACTAATGATTGGTTTTGCCATCACTGTACATCACTGATATAAAGTATCAAGCATTTTAATGTGAATATTGATCTAGATCCAGACCATCTCTGATCAAAAAATAATGATGTAGTGTTCACTCTTTAAAAACCTTCAGTTTTTGGATAGTTGTATGGTCAGTAGCTTTTGGAACCATTTCTGATAGGGAAAACTTCTGTGGAAAAAAAAAAAGATTTCCCCAGAGGAACAGTTGGTGAACTTTTAAGCGTTGCAGATTTTTTTTGGAGAATGTAGGTCATTTCTCTGTTTTAATCTGTCAGACAACAATTTGAAGTGAAATAATCAGGCAAAATTAGCAAAAATGACAAGAGGTTTGTTTTTGCCTAACTGAAAGTAATTAAAGAACTGAACATTTAATATGCAAAAGTATCACTTAAATATTACTAAATGCTGTAGACATCACATTCATATTGGGGGGCCGCCATGCCTTTTCTTCATTGACATGCCCCCAACTCGGACAGTCAGAGCTCAAAGAAAAATATGAGTTCTCAAGTTGTAATCACAGCGTTGAGGTGGCATTCACAATGCGGGTTCACCTCATAAATACAATATTACTGACAGAACTTGAAGGCAGGATAAACTGAGAGGTATTTAAGGCTGAAGAGGTGATTAGTAAATGAGGTGCAGGTGAGTGTGATTAGTAAGCTGGTGAACTTTAGTAGGTTGACAGAGAAGGGGGCATAGCAGTCTGCATGTCTAACTAGTCTCAGTTATGAACTCATTAAAACTCATGTTTAAGTTAATTAAATATTTAATGTGAATGAGTTAATAGTAATAGTGATAAAAATGTATTGCAGAGCTACTACACTCAGCGCAACATGGATACATGTGACCCCTGACTGTCCCTCTGTACACGAATACTGTCCCCACCCCATGATCTCACATTCCTATATCATCCCCAGCTTGCCCCCATATGGCCTAACACCACTCCAGAATATACAGTTACAGTACACACTCACTGTCCACTTCAGTAGGAACACCTATACAGGTCAAGAGCTTCAGCTAATGTTCACATCAAACATCAGAATGGGGAAAAAGTGTGATCTCTGTGACTGTACCCATGCCATGGTTGCTGGTACCTGACAGGTTGGTTTGAGTATTTCAGAAACTGCTGATCTCCTGAGAATTTCACACACAGCCATCTGTAGAGTTTACACCGAATGGTGTGAAAAACAAAAAAACATCCTGTGAGCAGAGGGTCTGCAGGCTGAAACACCTTGTTAGTGAGAGAGATCAGAGGAGAATGCCCAGACTGGTTTGAGCTGACAGGAAGTCTATGGTAACTCAAATAAGCACTCTTTACAATCGTGCTGAGCAGAAAAGCATCTCATAACGCAACACATCAAACCTTGAGGTGGATGGGATACAAGAGCAGAAGACCACATCAGGTTCTATTCCTGTGAGCCAAGAACAGGAATCTGAGGGTACCATGGGCACAGACTCACCGAAACTGGACAGTTGAAGACTGGAATAAGCCCAGATGATTTTTTTCTAATCTTCAACTTCTAATCTTCAACTGCCACATGTTCATCATTTTATTAAACATACTTAAGTGTTAGCATCTTGTGGGCATGCCATAAAGTTTATTCTTGTTTTTGCAGCTTTTTTTTCTCTCAATTCCAGTGGATATCTACAGAAATCTGAAGTATTACCCAGTCTCCATTCTTGTACAGTTTTCTATAGTAGCCAATAGCTCACCTTGTAGTAAATCAGTAAGTCAGTCAGTCAGTCAGTATGGTATTAATAAGACTAAAGAAGTCTTTTTAATGACTTATCCATGACACTTTAGACAGAATATAATTAATAAAATTATTACCATAAAATGCTATGGTCCTGTGTGTGTTTGGAAACCATGGATCTCGCTTTGTACACAGGGGCATTGTCATGCTGGAACAGGTTTGGGCCTCTCAGCATCAGTGAAGGGACATTGTAATTTTATACCATACAAAGACATTCTAGACAGATTTTTGGGGAAGGCCCACATATAGGTGTGATGGTCAGGTGTCCACAAACTTTTGGCCATATAGTGTAGCTTAGAAGTGCTTTTCACTATTAGCCTGCACTAAAGCATTGAAATATCACTGATATAATGACCCATATTTGGGATGTCATCTGTTAAAAAATTTGCATACACAATCATGTTAAGTGGGACAAACGGGTCCTAAATCAGCTCTTTTGCTGTGACAGGTAAAAGTGTAGGGAATATAGGCTTGTTTCATGATGGAATGATGATATAAATCAGAAACTGTTCGGCACAGCACCTTGTCACACAATCCCTAGATATTCAGCTGAAGATTTCTCACTGGATTATGCTCTAAAGAGCAGCTCAATAAGCTAACAAATGATGACAGCAAGACACTTACTCGATGACGCTAAGTACTCAAAGCAGCCCTGAGTAATCTTAAACATTGTTCCATTCATTATGAATAATATTTGTAAACTCATGCCAAAACTGCTTCATGCATAAAACATTGCAGTTGTAATTCTTGATAGCTCTATTAGTAGCTGTCTTGTAGATAATGGAATTGCAAAAAAAATAATAAAATGTCTCCAGGAGATAAAGTGGAGGAAAGGACCCTTATTTGTCATGTGTATTAAATCCATTTAGTCTTTAGGTTCAGGCTAATTTCTGTTTTATTGTGAATCATGTCTCTGAAATGTCTCCATTTCAGTTTGTCTTGAGCTGCATATTTAATTTCGTTCTTAACGCTCTGGTGCAGTGAGCCTGAACCATGCTTTGACAAAATTCGAATGAATTAGGATAATATATTTCATTACAAGTTTAGGGCCCGGGGTTAAAGCTCCACCTGTTTACACAGCACATAAGAAGTCTTGTTAATGTTCTACAAAGCCTGTATCCACAAGTGTTATAATTTATAATTCTTCATGATTTTGCTAACAGTGCTTTAAAACATGTTAATGAACTCCAATAATAATAATCTTTGCACCTTAGTCAAGGACAAGTGGGTGCATGATGAATAGTACTGACATTTATGGACATTTAGTCGCAAAATAGACTCATAATAGTTAATGGTTTATTTTGAAGTCTTGAAAATAAATATTATATTTTGAAATTTTGAAAATAAAGATATTAAACTGCAATAATGTGTTTATGTTGCTCCATGTCCTTTAATTAGGTTGCACTTTCCACTTCATTAATAACGTTTTCAGCTAGAAAAAAAGGTTTCAAGTGCTTTACAACACACAAGTAGGAATTCTTAATTCTGAAATGCTTTTCTGCTCATCGCGGTTGTAAAGAGCGGTTAATTGACTTACCAAATCCTTCTTGTCAGCTTGAGCCAGTCTGACCATTCTCCTCTGACCTCATTCATCAGCAAGGTCACATGAGATCACATTTTTCCCCGTTCTGATGTTTGACGTGAACATTAACTGAAGCTCTTGACCTGTATCTGCATGATTTCACGCATCCTGATGCTGCCACATGAAGTGATTAAGTCAGAATCTTTCCCATACACAGAACATTAAACGAGCTTTATAATTATGTGCAGGTCATCAGTCATAACAGTAGAAGCACGTGACCCAGTGATTAACAGTGAATTAAATACAGTGCTTTATTTGAGCTGTAGGAAACATTGCTGAAGTTAAATTTAAAAAATGACTAATTCGAAAAGTGTCGACAGAGACATAAATCGTTGTAAGTACAGGATACATAGAAAGGGTTACTGAAGAGAAAAGGAAAGAAATTCTTATTTTTTAAATCAAGTCTCCACACTGCCTTTCATGTTACTTGCTAATAGATTTGATTTGCTCTAGCACTGATTCCTTCTGGGTGTTACTGAATGAGATTTTACCTAGGAGTCAGTCTGGTTCCTGACACACACACACACACACACACACACACACACAGAGAGACATGACTATCATGACTATGACTGACTCATAATTATATAACAACCAAAAAAAGATTTCTGTTTGCTTTATCGTGATGTCGTGATGTTACACTGTTAAAAAAAAAAAAAAGAACACTGTAGAGTTACTGGCAACCTGGGTTTACAGGAAACAACTGTGAAACATATTTATAGTAAAGTACTGCAATATCTCAAACTTTATGTGTAAAGTAACACATAATCCATTATATTAGCTCATTTGGCTGATCCAGGATGCACCTGAGCAATGTTGGGATTTGAATACATGACCTTCTGATCTGCAACTCAAAGCCTTAACCACTGAGCCGCCACAAGAAGCACACCTTTCACTGAATCTGTGCAATCTTTAGGGGAGTTAGTTCAGCAGTAGAAGTGGTTGAATCAATGTTGGTTAATAATAGTTGATGTGGCTTAGTGGTTAAGGCTTTGAGTTATAAATCAGAGGATTGTATGTTCAACTCCCAGCACCAACAAACTGTCCTGGTTGGGTTCTAGTCTAGACCCTTCATCTCAGTTGTCACCTGCATCAAGGAAATGTACTGTTTTATACTATGTAATATATTACAGTACTTAAAATATCTTTATCAGTTGTTTGTTATAAATTTTATAGCACTTTACTGGCTACTCAGGTGACCAGTAAATTTTTTTACAGGGTACTCTTTGGTGTAAAATGAGGCTTGATGCACTTCACTTATATCAGGACACTAGTTCTGGGCTGCTCACACTAAAGTAATTGTTTGGGTGCTCTGATTTTCTCTATTCTGTATGACAGGATCCTCAGTTTGATTGTGCAGTCAGTATAACGGTACAAATTGCTGCAATTTTCTGGACTTACAATGACTTCATGCACATCAATACATGGCTTTCTTCAGAACAATGTTCACCTTGTCAAATTCATACAAATTGATCACTGCTCTCAAATGCCAGTCTGAATTCACATTTCTCTCCACTGAGGAAGCTCTTTTCTTTAGTTTCCCTGGTATCTCTAAGATGTGTGAAATATTCTGCTGTTATCTCAGTATTGCAATACTTACACATACACAAACTGTTGTCATTTGAACTGGTCTGAGCATCTATATCATTGTTTCTGACAGATGTCATATCCGGGTGATTGACACATTTGGTACTGAGCCAGCATATAACCATGAGGAATATGCCACCCTGCACGGCTACAGGACCAACTGGGGCTACTGGAATCTCAACTGCAGACAGTACATGACCATGTTCCGTAAGTAGGGGTATTGGGGTTTTTATTCTCAGCACTGTGGAAGAGCAAAATGATTAGGCATAACTGAGCCAGACAGTTGTCTGTGTGTGTTGAGTGTGTGAGTTTGTAGCTCACTGGGCTGCAGCTGATACTAAGACATGCCCAAGGTGTGTACTGGTAGTTCGATGGAATACAATTATCAGAGAAACAGAGCAGGTGTTCATTGTCACAGCTGTGTGTCTGTATTTTGATTGTGTCTTATTGCAGTGTGAGCCAGTGATTTAGTCAATAGTTCATCAATAGTCAGTAGTGATTTAAATATTAACTGAAAAAAGGCTATACAAAAAAAACAACAGCAATGCAGTTTGCCTTGTCATTCTGTTTATCTTCACACAATTATGCTCTCTAAATTATCCTAATGCTGCTCTTGTTGTTCTGTGTAGCCACCTGTGCTGTATTTAAAGCATTATTGTTCTATACACTGCCTTATAGCAGCTGTACAGGAGCTCTGTGCCAGTCTGTGCACAGAGGTGCTGTACTGTCTCGCTCCATGGTCCTAGAGGAGTGATATTTCACTATATGGGTGTATGTAAAAAAGGTCAATAAAAATTAACATGACTTGAAAAGAAATCCTTATTGATAATTAAACTGGTGACTGTTAAATATCTTTTCATCATGTTTTTTTTTTTTCAATAAATTGTGCTCTCTGACGTGATGTCATCATTTTTTGTTTGTTTGTTTGTTTTCGGAGGGTTGGAAGTTAGACATTTTGCATATGTTGGACTCATTCTATCTGTAAAGTGCAGTGTAGGAGTGGAGACGCAGGACGCAATTGTGTGAGCTCAGCATGACTTTTATTGAGAGCAGTCCAAACATCATTGTCAAAAACTGTAGCAGGGCTCAGAGAACAGGCAGACAGTGTTAACCAAGGCATATCCATATTCATAGTAAAGGCACAGGCACCAATCAAGAACCAGAAAATTAAATAGGCAAACTGATCAGAAACTAATATAAAATAGGAGAGACCACACAACAGGGCAATAAACCAATGACAGGACAGTAGAGCAGACAGGACTAGAATCAAAACAAAAGACATGGAAGCATGTTTGTGTTTGAATCCGTGCTGCACTTCAGAAGGTGAAGTGCCCACTAACGGGGAAATACATGACATATTGTCCCACCCTGAAGGCGTGGTTTTTAAAGCACCTAAACATTGGCGGGTCCTGGACCCCTGAGCAGAGCATTCATTAGCTTCCAGGGTTCCCCAGACAGGCATTGCACAGAAAGAATGATGTCCTCAGCAGGGCAGGAAGGCAGAGTGGCATCCTCAGCTGAGCCAGAGGATGGAGAGACATCCTCTGTGGAGCAGTGAGGTTGGAGCATCAACACCCTCACAAGTGACAGACGGCAGACAACGGCAGAGCGACAACGTCATCCCGGAAGCCAGGAAACGGAGCCCCAGTGTTATCCCCAAAGCCAGGAGACTCCTCGTTGAAGTCAGGAAGCGGACCGACATCCTCAGCAGACCAGGGAGGTGGAGAGAGCATGATGTCATCGAAGCCAGGAGGCAGAGAGAAGACGACGTCTGCAAAGCAGTGACGTGGAGAGTCGTCCATGGTCGGTGTCAGGGTGTGGCGCGACAACCGCGCCAAAACCTTGGCGAAGCCTGGGGGCAGAGCGTCGTCATCAGCAGAGCCAGGATGCAGAGCGACGACCTCGAGCAACGACCAGGGCAGGGAAGGTGGAGTGACAGCATAGCCCCAAAAAAAGAAAAGAAAAAAAAAACCTTTCCAGGGGAAGCTCCTCTCTGGGGAACAGGAACACCCTTCTCAGGTGGCTAGAGAACTACAAGACTTTCTCCCCATTCGCGAGTCTTATCGGTAAATCGGTCTTCTATGTGTTGTAGAGGTGGAGAGACAGGAATTACGTGAGGTCGACTTTTATTGAGAACAGTCCAAACATCATCGTCAAAAATTGTAGCAGGGGTCAGAGAACAGGCAGGCAGCATTAACAAAGGCACATCATATTCATATATTCATATCCAGGCACAGGCACAGCTCAAAATCCAGGAAATTAAAAGTATCAGAAACACAGAACTGGAACCAGAAATGCGGAGGAAACACGGCTCTGAGCTTAATCAACAGAAATGTTCGATAAGATCTTGTAACGAGACAAAGAAGGAGAACTGCTTAAATATACAAACTGATCAGAAATTAATAGAAAACATGAGAGAACAATCAATGCACAGCAGGGTGATAAACCAATGGCAGGGCAGTGACAGAGATAGGACTGGAATCAAAACAAAATATAAGGAAGCAGGTTTGTACTTAATCCACACTGCACACCAGAAGGCGCAGTGCTAAGGCGGAATTGTATGACACTATCATTATTTTGCAAGCTACAGGGTTGTGGGCTGTGGTTCTGAATAAAATATAGTGAATTAACATGTAAAATTGTAGCAGTTGTATGGTAAATGCATATGAAATAAACATAGTAGAATATTTTTCTCTGTTCGTTTCTTTTTTTCTTTATCTTGGAGTTAATAAGACAAAAAAGCAGCTTATGTGACAGAGAAGCCAGAAAGCATAAAGTGCTTTGTCCTAAAGACTGTCCCATGGTGGAACATGTACTGACCTTTAGAAAAAAGCTAACAATGGAAACTCCTTTCATAAATGTTAAACAAATGCCTCCTAACAGAAATCTTCACAATATCAACAATTATAGGTTTGTGCATTATAGGTTTTTCTTTGTGCTTTATAGGTTTTAATATAAATCCTTTTAATATAAAGCCAAGACCTAGCAACTCTGTACAAATTGTTTCCCCATGCAGCACATACTCCTGACAACTCCTTCATGGGCTTTGTTGCTGAAGAACTAAACCACACTGAGAGGCTCAACATTCAAAGAGAGAAAGTGAACAATATGGCAGTGATCTATGGCAAAGAGGCCAGCATGTGGAAGGTAAGCACACACACACACATACACGCGCACACATACACACACACACTGAGCAAAGGGAAGCTTTCTTTCTGAATATTTTATGACTGTGAAAAATTCGGGGACACTGGATTTATGATTGTCTTCCTTTTCATTTCTCATGGACACTCATTTCAAAACACTGCTTGACGCTTTATACATCGTGAAGGGCCTGCGGGTGTCACCTCGGTCATGTAAAGCTTCACGACTGATAGCAATGTAATGAGCTCTTTTCACCCTGATTGATAGAGCTACAGAGACACAGGCATCCTCTCGAGTCGCATCTGTTTATGGCTGTTATAAATCTGGAGTCGATGGCTGCCGCGGTAATAACTCTCTGATGAGTTGTCAAACGCTTTCACCTGGTAAGTGGTGCCGGATTTAGCTTCTAATGTGGCACTCATCCCTGAGGACTTGAGGCTTGTGTATCATTTTATGGCCACAGTAGGCTCAGCACTTGTAATGGTACGCCCCGAGATAGATTGCCTATCAGAGTCTGTTAGGCACCATGACAGCATTGCGCTGCAGTGGCATTTTAGACAGCATGCAGTTAGCACTGTGACACTAATCAAGTTGTGATGAAGAGCAAAGCTTGCAAAGAGAGAGACAGACAGAAACAGAAAGAGAATTAAACATTATGTAAACATCAGTGGAGGAAGATGCTTCCTTCTGTTCCTACCAAAAGCTGACAAGCAGCCCACTTTAATCTCTTAGAACATATGCTTTGGCTGTCAGACTTCTAGAGACAAGTTGATGACTGATTTTTTTTTTTCTGACAGCATTCAAACACGCTGATCTATTAAATGACTGTTCTTGTCTTCATATCATACCATCTTTGCAGTAAAATGCCCTCAACAAGAACAATGCCGTGTAGGCCATTCTGTCACCTAATGCATTTATACAGTACAGGTGTCACTCAGCATGATGAGATCACGACTAATCCCTTTCTCTTTCTGTTTCTTTTTCTCTTATATGTACTTCTGCCCTTGCTGTTATCCACAGCTTGAGGTAAGTGAGACATTTAATAAATTGTTAGATGACAACAAATTTTGCATTTAATGGCCTGATATGCATAAATACAGCTGGAAGTGAAGAAAGGAGGTGGGAGAAGTTGTGTGTTGAATACCAGATTAATTAGATGCTGCTGCTACTATATTATACTATTATAACAAGATTTGGTAACACTTCACTTGCATCATGACACAGACATAACCATGTCTGCAGTAATATGCTGTCATAAGTTGTCCTAAAAGTTGATGTCCATTAATATAAGTGTTACATCATAATATT